TAAAATAGCATTTGTAATCAATTATATTAACATCAAACTTGCATAAATATTATCTACCAAATTTATTGTACATTTCACCAACATCAGTTGGTATAGAATTGTAAAGAAATTGTATGAAAATTGACATAAAAATAGGATTTTGGTGATGATGAAATACCCTTCACCGAGCAACAAATCCACACCCAATTTTCTTGAATAAACATGTTTGACGAAGTTATACACATAACAAAACTAATATGTTTTCAATTATTATTATTATAGAGTCTTCTTAAAATATTAAGTTACACAAATATTAATTATGCTATTAATTTTATTTCAAATAAATATTTATTGTTATAAAAGCACGACAAAAATGAACTTTAAAAATTAATCGGAAGCGAAAAAAGAAAATGGGGGATAGGGAGTGAAGCATTAAAAGCGAAATCTAGATAAATATAAATATAATAATCTCCAACTCATTGGTAAAAGTCTTCTGGTAATACTAGATGACCTAGGTTCAAATCTTTCTAGTAACAATTTCATTTAATTTTTAATGACTATATAACTAGTATTGGACTATTTGATGCCTTGGGCCGTCGCCCGGGCTTTATATTTCCATGCCTCCCCTCCTTTCTCCACTGTCCCAACTCTCTTCTCCTCAACAACAAACTCAATCTAGAACTCGAACAACGAACTTGATCTAGAAACAAACAATGAACTCGATCTGGAGCTTCATTCACGGCGAACTTGAAGATCTAGTCTCATTTACGATGAACTCGAACTCAATTTATGTAAATTTTTGTTGAATCACTTTTGATTTTAGGTTCAAATTTAAGGGTTTTTTTTTCTTGTTTGTGTTTAGATTTGAGGTTTTGATTTAAGTTTGTGTTTAGAAATATGTTTCAGGTTTGGATCTTTTTGTATTAATGTTAGAATTTTTCTTTTTCTGTTTCGAATTTGATTTAGGTTTGAATGGTTTGTATGATTGTTTGAATTTTTTTTGAGTTTGAATCCAATTTAGAGTTGAAGGTTTACATTATCAAGTATGGTTTATCTTTTTTATTTATTTTGTCTTCCTTATATACAATATTTATTATCTATGTTATTTTTATTTTTAAAATACAAAATAAGAAAAAAGGATAAAATGACCAAATTACCCATCACGTAAAGAGCAAATGACTGACTTAACGAAGCCGTCTTTAACTGTGTTAAAGAGAGGGACTGATTTGGGATCGAAACACGATTTTTGGACCAGAAGATCCAACGTTTGTTCCACTTATCTTTTTGCATTGCAGTGGATTTAGTTAAGAAGAGATCAAGAATTTGAGTTTGTTTTGTGATTCAATCTTGTATTTAAGGTATTCACCCTACGGATCTTCTTTCCAACATTTGTTCGGGTGATTCGGGTCTTGCTGAAATCCTCACCAAATGCAAGTCATTGACTCAATTTCACATTCAAAAGGATTCATCGTGTTTTAATGGAGATGGCCAATGTGGATATAAGGTATTCTGAAATGATACATAATTTAGAAGAAAGTAAATGCTTATAGCAATAGACTATTAAATTGTCTTTCTCTACCATTTTTCGAGAAGACGTGATAATCAGTTGGATATGCTCTTCTTTAGGTTTGGAATAATATTAACTTTGGTTCTTGCTTTAAATTTGAAATAACGTCTAGTTTTAGTTCCGTTACTTTTATAAATTTTGAAGTTTATACTTTATAATGAGCATACTCGTAAACTTCATCATTCGATTTACAGAAAAGTTTCACGTCCCACCAAATTATACAGGCACCCAACTACTATAAACACACACACACACACGTAGACGAATGATCGTTGTGAGAATAAGAGTTAGAGTGAGAAGCATAAGAAGCGAAACGTACCCTTGATCACTTTTAATCTCACTCATATCCCATAAAATGCGTTTCTCATGGGAATTGATCTGATGCATTTTATTAGTGTTGATCTTCAATTATCTTACTTTTCTCACTGTAATTTTCATTTTCACAAGAACCCAACAGTACATGTATGTGTGTGTATTTATATATATATATATATATATATATATATATATAGACTTGGGATCATGTGAGACTAGCCTATTTTCGTGAGACCCGTGAGACCAACATTTTACACTTGAAACTTCACAGCAAAATGCTGTGAATGTGACTTTTTAAAACCTTCACAGTGTTTTTGCTGTGAAGGTTCGACTTTTTTTAAACCTTCACAGTGTTTTTGCTGTGAAGGTTACGTGTAAAAATGTGGT